CAAAAACGTTTGGGAAACACTGGTCTAGGCTGCCCCCTGCCCAGCATGTGCAGACAGGGACTCTTACTTGAAAGTAAGAAAGCGATCCTTATACAGGCAAGTTCTATCACAGCCTGCCAACCCAAGCCTAATTGTGACAGCACTGCTGGGCTCATGGTATGGCCACCAGAACAGGTTTGTAGATAGCCACTTGCCTAGTTGTAAAAACTGCCTCCAAGGAGCAACTCAGAAATTACATATACTGTAAAACAAGAAAATCTGTAATAAAAATACATCAGCCTTCAAAAAGAAAAAGAAAAAGAAAAAGAAATTACATATACATATGTGTGTGCATCTGGTGTGCGTTTTTTTGTCCCTTTTCCTTTAAAGGTACAAAATGACTAACAATGTGGGGGGGGGGAGATTGGCTAGGTAACATTTAGTCTGGGCTACTAGGTTTTATAGATTTATTTGCGAGGCTGGATGCGGGTGGCACTGTGGGTTAAACCACAGGGCCTAGGGCTTGCCGATCAGAAGGTCGGCGGTTCGGTTGCTCGGCCCCTGCTCCTGCCAACCTAGCAGTTAGAAAGCACGTCAGAGTGCAAGTAGATGAATAGGTACCGCTCTGGCGGGAAGGTAAACGGCGTTTCCTGCGCTGCTCTGGTTCGCCAGAAGCGGCTTAGTCATGCTGGCCACATGACCCAGAAGCTGTACGCCGGCTCCCTCGGCCAATAAAGCGAGATGAGCGCCGCAACCCCAGAGTCAGCCACGACTGGACCTAATGGTCAGGGGTCCCTTTACCTTTACCTTTACTAGAGTATAGTTTGTGAAACATCTCGTACAAAATTCTCCCAATATACCGGTACACATTTTCGTATGCAATTTTTGGTATGCAATTCTGCCTAACACTAATATGTATGTTACATATGCATTTTGAGGCACACTTTGCCTAACTCTATGCATTTTTGCACACATTACTTGGTGGAAGAACAGCACTGCAAAATTCGGAGAAGTGCAAATTTCAAACGATGGCTTTGTTTTGGTTCTTGTATCATTTTGCAAAGTATGAATCAAATAGTTCCACCTTTAAATGTGAACTGAATCACATTTCTCCCACACCCGTAGCCTCAGTAGCATGAAAGAGTACAGTAACCAGTTTACACACCACATCTCTTCCCAGCCAGCCCAGCAGCCAAGTCTGATGAGCTGCTGCTTTAATTGCTGGTGGCCCATTGCACGAGGCTAGCAGTAGCCAACTTGGCACACACACACACACACCCCAGCAGCTGTGCAACCACAGCTCCTATCAGCCGCAGCCTACATGGTGAAAGACGATGGGCGCTTCAGTCCAGCAACACCCAGAGGTCCACATTGCCCACCCCCATCAGGCTAAGCTAAGACAGCCCCCCAGCCCCAAGCTTGCATCCCAAGCCCCAAGAGCAAATCCACAACATCCTCACAGCAACATTATGAAAGGAGAAACCGAGCAAACCCTCCAATCGGAACTGCATGTAAAGGCCTTCACAAAACTGCAGCTAAGAATGGCATCCCAGGGGCAAACTATGTACCTCCCCCACAACACGGGGAAAACCTTAATCCATGTTACAATTTACCCCCATCCCATTTTTATTTATTTTTATGTAGTCAGATAAAAGTAAAATGCAACTAAACACAATAATAAATAATCAAATATTTCATGCGTTTCACTGGGAAGTCTTATCAAAACAGAGCATCAAGTCTGAGAGCATTCAGTCACCTTCTGTTTTCCATCTTCACAAGGACACCAGAGGAAAAGGATAATAGGCCTTGCACTGAAGGAGAAGCGTATCGTCAATAAGCAAATTCCAAACTGGAAGAGTTAGAAATTCTGAAGCGTCACATAATGGGAAAGGGGGGGGGTGTCTGTTAGTGTTCTTTTTATATATGTAACTAATAAAGTCAAATCCAATGTCCAGCAAATGTTCCTCTTTTTGCTGCATCCCAAACCCAAGTCTGCATCTCAGTGAGCCCCCAAAACCAGACCATCGGTAACAGAGCTTCAGCAAGGCTCCCTTCAGGCGCTTCCAATGCTTTTTACGTTTCTAAATCCATCCTTCTTCCAAGAAGCTCAGGCTCAGAGAATGTGATTGCTTCTTCAAGTTCTGAGCTTTGTGGCTGAGTGGGGATTTGAACCCAGGTCTCTCTAGTCCAGCAGAGGAAATAAAAGGCTGGGGGGGGTTGTGACAGAAAAATGCACATTATGTAGGCATCACGAGACAGGATAAATCATCCTGTTTGTTAGAGCAAAGACTAAGAAGAACTCGATAGAGTGAGGCATATTGGTAACCAGAGTGATTTTCAGAGACCACAAGGCCTATGCATGCTTGCTCAGAGGTTCCACCATGTTCAATGGGGCCTATAATTTTTGTCATCACTGCTGCATTCTGGATTGAAAGCAGAGTCAGGCCCTGGACACCCTCCAAAGGCAGCCCCACTGACCCTCTGCAGTCCAACTCTGCAGGTCTTATAAACCCAGCCTTCCATCCGCACCATGCACAGCAAGTGCTGAGCCCACCCACATCAGGCACGGGGCAACCTCAGGCTCTGCCACAGACGCCAACCGGCTGTGGCAAGCTGGTCTCCCAAAGCCCACACCTCCACAGGCAGGATTCAGCATTGCTACAATCTGCATAAGGGGGTGGTTTGGGGTGGGGGGTTTTTTAGTGCACACTTTCTCACTGGGGGCACACAGAGCACATTGCCCAACCTCCCTTGACACAGTAACACCAGAGGACCCATCTCCATATGACAAATGCTGCCAGGAGGTGGGGAGCACCAAGCACAATAATTTCATTAATGCATCAATTCAAATATTCTGGTCTGTGTCCCAATTTCGGTGTTTAAGGGCTAGATGAGGGAGGGGAACCCACTCTTCCCCCACCCCTCTTCCAGTGCTAACATCTGAGAGAATTATCCAAGCAGAATAAAGGTGGGGGGTGAATAGAGAGAAGAAAACCAGGTTATAATTTGTCACGCTGTTTACCCCAAGAAAGATGAAGCGGAGAATTTTTAATTGAGTAGCTTCTCCCTCCAGACCTCATTACGGAGGGGAGGAAATAACTCGATCAAAAGCTTCAATTCAGTTGCTACACCGGAGGCATATATCCATATATATGGAAAACTCAGGGAAAGAGAGAAGGGGAGAGATATGCTGAATTTCCCTGGTTTTCCTTCTTCCATCTTTCCAACTTGACTAAAACAGATCTACTGCCAAGCCATCAGCATTGCGCACCTGGGAGCAAGATACAAGGTCAGAACACACGTGGGATATGAATGTGGTCGGAAGAGGATTTGGAGGACTGTCCCATGCAGGTGTCATTACTCAATTTTGGACTCTGGACCAAACAATCGTCCAGCCCCCTCCCGTACCCCACATACCCTTCGGTGTGTGGGGGGGCGCCTGGCCTTCTGCCCTGACATGCAGTTTCATTTTACACCTGCCAATCCTGTGTATCAGGAAGACCATGCTGGAGACACAAATCCTGGGAGGGCAAATGTGTCAGTCCGGCTAAGCAAGAAATCATATGCATCTGAGCTCACCCTATGATCAATCTGCTAATCTTTCAGATGCCACAGGACTTCTGTCACAAGGATTAAATCACAGAACAGGGTTTTTTAAAAATAAATAAAATTCAGTGTTGAAAGATAGATGATGGAGGACACATCACAAGGAATGGCAGCGAAGACGGGTTGACCCGGAACAAAGCAAAGAGACTTGGGGGGGGTCTTAAAGGAGGGTTCTGCTCTCCTTGCCTGTTTTCTGGATGGAGACAGTTCTCTCTCTCCTGTGCGCCCGGCATGAGGGAGATCAGCCAGCCATGGCTTGGCTAGCAAATCTCTCTCTCCCTCTCTGCAAGTCCCACAATAGCAGAGAAGAAAAAAGATGCCATGGTTGTGCCAGGAGGAGAAAATCTCCCTGCTTAGTCTCCATGTCTCCTTGCAAGCCAGACATTCACAGCCCAAACCTCCCCTGCATACAGGCACAACTGTTCATTCCTCTGAGCCCCAAGCCATAGCAACAGATTGGCCAGCCTAGTGGGTGGGTGGGGGGCATTGCCTTGCCCTCGTCACCCACATCTTGGCAGAAAATGCGTAATAAAACAAAAGCACACCAATGAAATACCCAAAGGCATTGGGACTGTGATACCTCTAAGTGCTCTGCTCCCCCCCCCATAAATGTGTGCTTTTCAGTGGAGGGGGGAAAGAAGAAAAGTGGATAACATCTCCCCCCCCTCCAAAGCCCGTGCAGTACACTTGCATGGTTTCTCATGCACTTTGCTCTGTCTGCCCCAAATCACCTGTACTGCTTTAAAATAAATAATAACAACAACAACAATCAATACCTATTGAGATAAGGCTATATGACTTCTGACACACGTCCACACTCTCCTCCCAGTAGGGAAGGGAACTGTGGGTGGAGGGTGGGTTTCTTTGCGGGGGGGGGGGAGGGATGTGCAGAGATGGAAAGAGAGAGCAGGCAGGAAGGGTGGCAAATAGGAATGCAGCGCCCTAGCAAAAACAGCATCCTGCATTGCACTGCCAAAAGTTGAGCGGGGGAGGGGTATGAAGGGGGGCACAGGTGTGTCCTCTGAGGGCATTACCCTCCCCCCCCCAAAATGCAGAGAGGGGAGGAGGAGGCGCCCTATTCCTTGGACCTCATCATCCCACCCTGTGCAAAAAGAGTGTGTCTGCATCCCCCCCCTCCCTATCCAAGAAGCGTAGCCTGCAAGGCTCCGGGTTTCTGCGCCTCTAGCTATGGCTCGATCGCCCCCTCCCCTGACTTTCGAGAAGAAAGGAGCCCCCGGGAGCGGGTGGCATCCATGCAGCAAACACCCACCTCTGTTAAGGATGCACAGGAGAGCAGGCAGCCTAGAAGCCCTTTGCGCCCATCCCCATCCCCGGGAGGGCTGGGGCTTTGTCTCGCTCGCCCGCCCGCCCTCCCTGGGGGGCACAGCCCAGCCTGGCGCGCGCCCCCGCCTTACCTGGCCAGCGCAGGGCGGGGAGGACTCGTCCTCCCCCGAGGAAGGAGCTGGACTCCTTGCAGGCGGCCTGAGGAAGAAGAGCAGCAGCAGGAGGAGGAGGAGGAGGAGGAGGAAGGGGGAGAGTCTGGAGGAGGAGGAGGAGGAGGAGAGCAGGCGCCGCCGCAGCTGCCAGGGCTCTTTTGTAGGGCTCCTTCTCCTGCTTCGCAGCCACACACGGAGACTACTAATTAACCCGGGAAGCTGAGTGCGCCGAGCGCGCCCGGGAACCTGCATGGAGCTGGCGGGGAGCGGCCGCCTCGCAGCCCCCGGGGCCAGGATGCAAGGCTGGAGCAGGCCTGGCGGAGCTTCTGGAAAGGGGCTTGGCGCGGAAGCTGGCCTTCGGGGGTAGACTGCCCCTGCATGGAAGGCTCTGCCAAAGGAGTCCCTGCCGCGCTGCTGGAAGCTGGCTTGGTTGCAAGCCGGGGTTCAAATGCAGACTGCCTTTGTGGAGGGAGGTTCCGCTGACATAGCCTTTGAGGTGCTTCTGCCTTCTGGCTAGTGCAGGCAGGGTTGTAGCCAGGATTCAAGGGGAGACCGCCCCTGTATAGGGAGTTTTCACTTAAATAGTTACTGGGTTTCCTTGTGGTTGTGTCGAGTTGTCGCTGGTGTTATGATTAGAAAAAGAGCGTCCCTGTTTTAGGGGGCCACATTCAGCAATGAGGGGGGCAAGGGCGGCATTCTCTGTGCCTCCAGACTAGAGCAACTTGGATCATCCATGCAGGCATCTCCCTTGCAAGATCTGGCCGAATGTGACCTCCCCTGGCAGTGCAAGAATTCAGTTTCATGACAATTCTGCATAATTTAAAACCAACATGAGGCTGTTGGGAAATCAGGACTGTAGCAGAGCACACCATGTATATATATGTAATGTTCTAATGCATCTGGGAAAGTCTATGCAAAATACTTTGCAACCCTGTGATATTACAATTTATATTTCCCCCTTTTTCAGATAGAAGAAACCTGAGGTGTGGAGACAGCAATACAGTGGTACCTTGGTTCTCAAACTTAATCCATTCCGAAAGTCCGTTCCAAAACCAAAGCATTCCAAAACCAAGGTGCACTTTCCCATAGAAAGTAATGCAAAATGGATCAATCTGTTCCAGACTTTTAAAAACAGCCCCTAAAACAGCAATTTAACATTAATTTTACTATCTAGCAAGATTGTATCCATTGCTTTCATTGATCCATAAAATGAAAGCAATAATCAATGTACCGTACAGTGGTACCTCAGGTTAAGTACTTAATTTGTTCCAGGGGTCTGTTCTTAACCTGAAACTGTTCTTAACCTGAAGCACCACTTTAGCTAATGGGGCCTCCTGCTGTTGCTGCTGCCACGCCACCGGAGTCCAATTTCTGTTCTTATCCTGAAGCAAAGTTCTTAACCTGAAGCACTATTTCTGGGTTAGTGGAGTGTGTAACCTGAAGCGTATGTAACCTGAAGCATATGTAACCCGAGGTACCACTGTACTATAAAATAAATACAACAGTATTGTAGATTATAAAAATTATCATCCACAAAGTCACAAAAACAAATTAACCAAAAAAGCCTCAAAAACAAAAACGCAAAATAAATAGCAAAAGCACCAAACTTAGTCTGTTCCGGAAGTCCGTTTGACTTCTGAAATGTTTGAAATCCAAGGTGCAGCTTCTGATTGGTGCAGGCGCCCTGGAAACAATAGCCAACAGCCACATAGGATGTTTGGCTTCTGAAAAATGTTAAAAAAACAGAATACTTACTTCCAGGTTTTCGGTGTTTGGGAACCAATGCATTTGAGAACGCAAGGTACCACTGTAATATCTAGCAGAACTAGGTGATTTGAACCCAGGACTCCTGTGTTGTGTTCATAACATTGGAAACTGCCCTTTGCTGGGTCTTTCTGGTCTAGCATTGTCTCCTCTGACAAGCACATTTCCCCCCTCAAATAATTCTGGGCGCTGTAGTTTACCCATTATAATTATAGAGTCAGAATTCTCAGCAGTGCCCAGAATTCTGTTAGGGGGAAATGTGCTTCCAATGCACATTAATGGTGCAGTGTGTACACAGCCTAAGATCAGCCCTGGGGCCCTCTGTACAAAAACCAGATGCTTTGCTGCTGAGCTACAGCCCTTCCCTCAGATGATGATCTACCACGAGCTTGTATTAATCCTGCTTCTTGCAAAAGTGTTTTGTTTTTGTGACCCTTATTTGTCTCATGCTATGGGAATGGTTTTGCGTAGGGTTAAGCAAAGAGCTGCAACTGACTCTCTAGTTCCTTAATTAGTGTAGATGATGGATGATGAAACAAAGGACCAACCTTTCAGCACACTTTGGTGAGGGATATGGATGGGACAACTGAAGATGGTTTGAATAAAGAGTTGATTCTATATTTATTGTTAATTGCCATGATGGTTATTGGAAGAAAATGGAAATATTTAGAAGGATTAAATAAGGATTTATTATTTTATAGTCAAAACTGGTCTATAGCCACTGTTGAAAAATTAACTCAAAAATGAAAGTATGCTAGAGGGCAAATGTAAAAAAAGATTCTTTTTCATCTACTTGGCAAATTATTTCATATATTATTGATGATAACAATGTTCAAAGGACTCCTGTGAAATATGAATTAGATCCATCCTCTAATTCCTGGATCCAGTGCGGATTTAATTCCTGGAATAGCCAGGCTATTTTTCTGTTGAGGTAGTGGCCAGCATGGGCCATTAAGGTAACAAAGGAAGTGGCTCTGTAAATGAATGAATGAATGAATGTGTAAATAAACCATATGTCATAAAAACAGCACAGTCTGCTGTACCTTATTTCAAAGGAAACCGAACCCTGGGGAAGCTCCTGGAACCCCTGGAATCTTACACTACTTGGAGATTGGGATGGCAGGCAAAAATATTGGAAGCGTTTCAGAAAAGGGCAACCAAAGTTTTCAAGGGGACAGAGTGACTTCCCTATGAAGAAAGGTTGCAGCATTTGGGACTTCCTAGTTTAGAGAAAAGGTGTGTAAGAGACGGCATGGTGGGAGTTTATAAAATCATTCATGGCATGGAGAAGGTGGATAGAGAAGTTCTTTTCTCCCTCTCTCACAACACTAGAACTTGTGGAGATCAGATGAAGCTGAATGATGAAAGGTTCAGCACAGATCAAAGGAAGTCCTTCAAGCAGCACAGAGCTGACCTCCCCAGGACCTGGGTGGCTTTTAGAGAGGTTTAGCCAGTGGTGGAGGAGAGGGCGACTGACAGCTGCCAGCTCCATGGTGGGAGGCGGGAATGCTTCTGAATCCCAGTTGCTGGAAGCCACAGGTGGGGAGGGGGCTCCTGGGCTCAGGGCCTGCTTTCAGGTTCCCCACAGACATTTGGCTGGCCACTGTGAGAACAGGGTGTTGGATTAGATGCCTCCCCCTTTGGCCTGATCCAGCAGCCTCTTCTGATGTTCCTAAATAAATAAATGTGCACAAGCACCACAGCAGTGCACATCCTGCCATTTCAAGCCCACTGGAACGTGGCCTAAGGTATGCTCTGTACCACTGTTCAGAACATTTTAAAATATTTTTAAAGCAAAAGGACAACCCACAGCTTGATTCTTTAAAAGCAGTGGCTGGAAGCTGTTTTAGGGTATGCTGAATACAGCCTTCATATGCCAGGCAGGATAGGGCCTTCAGTGGTGTGAAATAAATTGGTGGAGACTCTGATGAGAAGGTTAGGAGCACACTGCACAGGTCTCCTCTTCACCTGCAAAACATTAGACAGCATAGCATTGAGATTCTTTCAATATTCTTGTTCATAGGCTTTTTTGATATACATAAAATGACGTTACAGATGGAAAAGCAGATAGACCAGCACTCCAGTTAAAGTAGAGCAGTTACAGTACTTGCGTCCGTTTCTGAAATCAGGCCTTAATGAAGTCTCTTACAACTTGGGGGTATTACACATTCATCTATACATTAGACATTGCCGGGTGATGAATTATTCAGTTTTGACTGAAGGTAAAATTATAGCAGAAATCAAAGTTTGCTTTCTCTCTGTGTCTGCTCCGGAAAGTGCTATATAAAATGTGTGAGTTTAATGTGCTCTTAATTAGGGGTGCTATTAAGAAGGTGTTTTATGCTCCCCTTAAGGAAAAGTATAAAAACATAAAAACAGTGGAAGAATTTGAATATTTTACCATAACCCTGATACTGTAGTTCATTTAAAGGCAGATGATGAAGGAAGAACATACTGAAGCAGGAAATGCCATGCTCAGCCACTAGGAGCCATTTTGGGGGAATGGGGATTTTGTGGGGCAATTTTTAATTTATCTGTGATTGGGCAAAAACACCCACCCACCCCACTCACACATGGAAACAACGACCACCACAGCCAACCACAAATGAACAGCCACACCCTGGGACAACCCCAACCTCTCTCACCACCAAAGGAACACAAAGTGAACAGCAGAGAACCTGCACAAGCAACACTGACACCAAACCCCACATATATTAAGTAAAATAGAAACATTGCCACCCAACCCCAACCCCACTCATCTTTCTCCCCATCCACCTCTTTCCCCCTTTTCTTCCTAATGTCTCAACAAATGAAACCGATTTGTAAAAAAAAAGAAAAATATTACATGGGGGGGGGAATAAGAGAGACATTGCACACACTTTTGTAAATCAAGAAAATATTTAATAAAAATACATTTTAATAAACTTTGGGGGATCCCAGCCCCCTCAAATATTTTATTGGGAGGGGAGTGAAGGGACCTGGGCCCCTAGGAGTTGGCTCCTCTGATGCTGAGGGTGGGCAGCCACAGTGAGGTGTTGGAGAATGGAGTTCCCAGCTGCCCTCAGACCAGTAAGCAATGCTGACATCAGACTAGGATGGAGGAGAAGTTTGGCTCACTTTGCATTTTCAGGGTGAACTTCTCTAATTCACATTTCCTGAAACAATACATGAACCAGACACCAGGCACTCTTTGAAATTCTCGTGTTTCTGAATTACCTCTATCTGAGTAATGTGTACAAAAGCACATATGCTGGGTTAAAGCATCCATACGAATGCATATATTAGTGAAAATAATGTCATATTGCCAAGAAATTGCTTTGCAAAATGTGTATACAGTGGTACCTCGGGTTATAGATGCTTCAGGTTACAGACGCTTCAGGTTACAGACTCCGCTCACCTAGAAATATTACCTCGGGTTAAGAACGTTGCTTCAGGATGAGAACAGAAATCATGCGGCGGCGGCACAGTAGGCCCCATTAGCTAAATTGGTACCTAGGGTTA